AAACATATGCCCACTCAATAGAATGAAATTCAAACCTTATGCTGTAAACTTAGTCAGCTATCTCTGGTTGGAGAAATCACAGACTCTATAAGAGAACCTATGACTACTGTGATTGTCCTAAGTCAATATAGGTTCTAACTGTACTCCAAATACTTAGGCTTGTTCCCACAGGGAAGTGTAGTTCCCACACTGAAGTGTAGTTTCCACCCCTCTTATCAGAGAAGCTTCATTTTGCAGGAGACAGAGACTACAACAGAGATCCATAACTGGTTAAGATGAAGAGAATAAATAAGTGACCATGCATGCTGCGTCCAGCTCCAACCATCTACAGTGCCATCCTTATACCTAAAGCACAGCAAATATTGTGGAAGGAGAGCAGTAGATTGTAACAGCCACAGGACCAGAATACCTGCTATGAAACAGTGTCTTCTAGACAAGACAGGGAAATTGACCCAAGGAATTTCAACAAAAAGTTTCCCTTATCAAGACATGCATAATGAAAATACAAGTGGATAGACAGGGAACATTTCACAAGATCCTATGACTAGATGAAGAGTTATAGGCAATCAGTGGCTAACGCGAGAGAAAGAATCAGTCTTCCCCAGGTATGGGGCCCATGATAGGCTATCCAATCCAAAGAGGTAAGCCAGGAGCACCTGTCCTTAAGAGCAACACTATATGAGCTAGCTGGGATTTGCATGCATGCATACACATGCACACACACACACACACACACACACACAGTGTGCAACAATAATGAGAGATTATGAACTTGAGGAAGAGAAAAGGGAGTTGGATGGGGGAGGGATGGAAATGATATACAGTACTCATGTATAAAATTCTCAATAATCAAACATTTAAATAAAAATGAATGAAACTAGATTTCTTATCATGTAAAAAAATCAACTGTAAATGCAACAATCTCTCTCCCTACACAAAAATCAACTCCAAATGGGACAAAGTTCTCAGCATAAGCCCTGAAACACTGGATCCACTAGAGGAAAATATAGCATTAAAAGTACAGGAATAGGAAGGACATTCTAAATAGGACTTGTGTCACTCAGAAAATAAGGACAACAGATAATTACGACCTCATGAAATTATGTTTTTGTATATCAAAGAGTCTGCAAAAGGGGGAAAAATTTACAAAATATATATCTGATGGAGGATTATCATCTACACTACACAAAGATCTAAAATATAAACATCAAGAAAACAAAACTACCCAATCAAAAATATGATAAGAAACTGAAGAGAGGTCTGAAAGGAATAAAAATAGCTAATAAATACTTTTTAAATGTTCAGAATTCCCCAACCATCAGGAAAATACAAATGAAATTCACTTGGAGGTTTCATCTCATTCCAGTGAGAATGATTATCATGAAAACAGTGCTGAAAAGGTTGTGGGGAAAGGGCAGTCCTTATTCACTGTCTACGGGAGACTAAATTGGTACAGTAAGGAAATGAGTGGGAAAGCGCTTAAAAAAAAAAAACAAAAAACCAAACCAAAACAACAACAACAAAAAACTACCATATGTCCCAGAATTAACTCCTGGGAATTGACCTAAAGCAATAATTCCTGCTTCACAGATAATTGCAAGTTCATGTTCATTGTTCCTCTTGTAGCAACACTTAGGAAATGAAATCATCCTAGATGTACATCAACTGATGAACGGTTAAAGAACATGTGGTACATATACACAGTGGAATTGTCTCTGAAGAAAAGTGGAATGATATCTACCCATAAATGGCTGGCACTGGACAATCTGAGATAATCCAGGGCCAGAAATACTAATAGCATCTTTACTCATAGGCAGGTCCTTACTCAGATTTTCAGATTTTGAAGTGCTAGAAGAGGTTAGAAAGCTACAAAGGAGCTACTATAAGGTTGGGGGAATAGGTGACCTTAAAGAAGTGGAAATAGAACACTTGTGATAGGAAAGCAGAGTGGAGGGTTACTGGTAGTACAAAGGTTTCAGCGGAGATGGGGGGGGCAGCGGAGCAGGATTAACCAAAAGAAGGAATGTATTAAAATCAATATGGAAAAGAGTGTTGTAATATTATTAAATATATTTTTGTTCTTTTTGAGACAGGGTCTCCCTACAGTTCCATCTACCCTGGAACTCACAATTTAGACCAGGCAGGCCTCTCACACAGACCCACTTGCCTCTGGGATTAAAGGCAAATTCTGCAATCAAAGGCATATACCTTTCAAAGTATTTTTTGTGAAAAAAAAAAAAGGTTGAGGGTACCCTGCATAAGTGAATAATCCTATTATATGAAGCCACAGGTTGATTGGTTAGTTGGTTGGTTGGTTGAGTAAAAGTCCCAGGGCCAGGTATAGGTTTCTTTACTCTGAGGTGCTGGTCATGGTCTCAGAGCACAACAGACTCTTTGCTTTTCATTGTCAACAACAGCATGATAAGATCATACTGCTGAAGGCACCACATATTATGCAGGACATATTGAATCAAGCTTAAACAGAGCTGTAAAGTGCATCCTAGCTGTTTAGCTTCCAAATAGCCGAAAAATACTATGCAGGCTGCCAAGAGAAAAGGTATCAGCAGTCTTACCAACTGTGAGCCCTGAAAACTAAACTATAATGCCAACCTAAGAGGCAAGATGTGTCTCATAGTAACAACTGTGGGATGACTGTTGAGTGGGTAACTCACTCCTAATTTGATTTTAGGCTTCCTCCACAAAAGGAATCCATGTCTAGTACTGTAAAACTGGTTTAAAAAACAAACAGTGGGATAGGTCATAAGCTCTAGGGAGGAAGCTTCTATCTTTTATTGCTAAAGAGACATGGTGTCAAAATGTAGTCTAAATATTTATGTTTATATCCATAGTTAAGTGTGTTTCTCGACCTTGGTGAGAAAAACTTCTTTTGTAGTGAGCAGCAGTCAATGAAGAAACCCATAACTGATCAGTGTTCTGAGAATAAGTGACTGTTTAAGTTCTCAGGACTAAACAGGATCATCCCTCCAATTTCAGGAACCATCAAAAATAATAGAGTGGAATTCAAGAGCCCAAGGACTGGAAAGAGGGCTGTGAAGACATGCCATATCTGCTACATCTATGAGTTTACAGTAGCAGTGGCAAGAAAACTGCACAAGACCAGGACTGTCAATATTCCATCATTGATAGGGTGTGGCTCATATAGCCCCACCCTTCCCAATGGAGCTATATGCAGTTAATGGCTGCTGAGGAGAAGTGATATTACTTAGTGCTGTAGCCACTAGTAAGTCAATTTAGCTCAAGTAATTAAGCCCCCCTGGCCCCGTGGGGGGCAGGTAACTGTTATTAAATGCAGTAGGCCATAAAATAAAAAACATACTTGAAATTAGGAGGATACTGTTTGGAAGAATGAGTTTCATGGAAATGAAAAATGTGGAAGGATTAAGGGGTATATGATGAAAATACATGCATATATATATATATATATGAAATTGTGAACAAATTTTTAAATATTAACTATTACACATTCTTTGAGACTTATACTATTTACAAATAAAGGATTTTAAATTTGAGAATCGGGTTGTACCTCAGTTCTTAGAGTGCTTGAGTAACATGCATGAAGCAAAAATGAGACTTTCATTCATATGACTCAACTATACCATTTCAGGGTTTCTACCCAAAGAACATCATATCCTCCAACAGAGATACCTGTGCATCCATTTTTATTCTACTAATAATAGGTAGAGAACAGAATCATTCTAAATAGCTATTAACTGTTGGATAAGGAAAATGTGTGATATTCAAATGGAATTTTATTTATCCACTTAAACCAATGGAATTAAATAATTTGCAGTAAAATGGATAGCACTGGGAAAAATATATTAAGTAAGGCAATCAAAGTTCAGGAACATAAACAACACATGTTCTCTCAAATGCAGATCTTACCTTTCAATTGTTCATATATGCATATCAACATGGTAGTGAGAGAGTGTAAATTTCAGAAAATAGAAAGGGCTCACAACAGGCAGAAATGCCTTTCATGTAAAAATTGCTTTAGAATTAAATCTCAGTAAAAATGGTCATGGTTGATTGAATTATCATCTGACCACTATTGGGAATTATTAAATTTCTGATTAAAATTTTCTTAGGAATTTTTCAAATTTCCAAGTCAGTCAGGGCTAAACAGTGAGACCCACTTACAAATGTATTACCTTCTAGTCAGTAAAGTTATTGGAAAGATTGTAAATTTTGGTTTTTCACATTGCTAAACATTTAATTATTTCCACTGAGTTCCATTTTTAAAGTGATGCCTTTTATCTTTCATTAGCTCTCACTCTGGATAGGGGACGAGATCTAAATATCATCACAACTTACTGCATGAAAAATCACAAAAATTCAATTAAAACATGTTTAGAAAGATCATCCTAGAGCCAGTATAACTGGCAACTGTAAGTCACCTACCCTGAGTGCCAGAAAACAAAAATTAATTCCTCTGCAAGAGCAGTAGGTGCTCTTAACCATTAAGCCATCTTTCCTGCCCCTGGGAAAATATAACAATGACACTTTTAAAATGTGTATTTAAAATGCTAACTCTTAACAGGGGGCAGAAAGCTGAGGACAGAAGATCACTTAAAAATCAAGGTCAAGGTAATGATTTCCATTCTAACCTAGAATAGCAATAATTTTAAGGGAAAGTATGAACAATAAAGCAAAAAAGTCTTAAAAATGTCAGTGAATTTGTAGAAAACTCTTAAATTCCTAATGTTGCCAATAAGAACTTAACTCAAACTATGGGGATTCATTCATACTTCCCACTTGAATATCTGCCTTGTAGAAATTCCTCACATTGTGGGCCCATCCTGCCCGGAACTCACTATGTAGACCAGGGTGGCTTGGATCTAACATTAAATGATAGTGTGAAAATTATTTTAGAAATGAGCTTCATAGACCAATAAAAACATGGTGAACAATTCCAACTGCTAGTTAACAAAATTTCTGACAGGTAGGTATGAAAATATTTGATTATAAATTGAAAGACATACCTTGAAGTTGGATAAGTAGACTCAATTTAAAGCAATCTATTCTCTCCTAATCTACTAAATTGGGCACAAATGAAATGAAAAGTGCAATTTTTTTCCAGCTTGGAAAATATGTATAAGCATCAATTCTGAGGAGAAAATGATACAGACTTGGAGTCCTCTGAAAAAGAAGAGAAAGGAGAGCTAAATGGAACAGGTCAGACAGTGAATATCATCAGGAATTAAAGTGAATTGAAGATCAAACAAATACACATGCAGCAAAATATGTGTCAGTTTTCTACAGTTATACTAGGTTGAAGCAGAAATAATACAAGTCAAAGAAATTTGAATAATTCATATACCTATTTGCACGTTAATGACTGGTAGAAAGAGAAATGACAGAAACAGTTGAAGGAAAATTAGAACAACAAAATAATACATTAATAGACATGTTCGTAAAAGAAGAACATGAAACTCCAAATGCACAAGAGAACATGATTATATTTAATGCATAATTCTGTACAACTGGATATTCACACAAATTGAATGGAAAACAGGGTGTTTCATTTGCAGTGTATGATGACTTCCTCACAGTACAGTTCACAAATGAGCTTATGAATACGTAACAAAGAAATGTATTACATGGAAAGTGAAAAGAAGTAAAAATAACAAAAATGAATAACATTATATGTAACAATATTAACAAAAATGAACACAACTTTATTTGTATTATTACATCATCAGTTACTAAAATTAGACTGTTAAAAATTTTATAATGTTAGAAAATGGTACTCTTTAATTAACAGATTTACCACATTAAAATCTATAGTTATTATCTCAATCCAAGAAAAATAAATTTTAAAAATTAATGACCAGGCATGGTGGCACATGCCTATAACCCCAGCACCCAGAAAGCAGAGGTAGGCAGATCTCTTTGAGAGTGAGGACAGCCTTGTCTTCACGTAGAGGTCCAGGCAGCTAGAGCTACAGGAAGATCTGTCTCAAAAAAAAAAAAAAAAAAAAAAACCACAAGCAAAAAAAGAGTTTCTGAATAAAATGCCCTTAGGTAGGTAAAAGAATAAATTAAAATTAGAGAAGGCACTTTGAAAGTAAAAATCCTGTTTTAAATAATTCTGTTGCAGCTGAGCCTAGTGGTGCATATATATATTCCCAGAACCCAGTAGTTTGTGGTAAGACAACCTCAATGTCAGTCTGTTTAAAAGGTAAAAATAAACAAAAAATTGTTTCTTTAAATTCTCGATTTTTTTCTTTAAAAAATGATGATATATTACCCTCTATGCAATGCAAAAATAATAATTTTAGAATCAGTTTCAAAGTAATCTTGAAATGAGTGATAATTATAATTACATGCACTTCATACTTATGAAAGCAGAGACGAAGTCACTGATAAGCTCAATATTCTGACTTTCTCATGTAGTAGAGTCACCATCACTACAGCTCCTCAAATTTAGTCCAGCAGCAACAAAAAGCGGTCATCATTGACACTAAATATTATCTCCAAGACATCTTCTGGTCTCCTTCCAAATTTGGCTCAATCTAATTTTCATGATGAGCAAGACTCCACTGCAATACCTCCTGAGATCTTTCTGTGAAGTAGAGTACAGAAATAATGGTATTAGTATTAATTCACTTTCAATCATTACCTGAGAATGAAATTTTTAAAAAAGGGTTAAAGTTAGAGGTAAATTTAATATCATCAGTAATGTCTAAAAAGTAAAACTTTTTTTGAGACTTTAAATACATGTATTTATTAGTCTGTCATCAGACAAAACCCCAGCACAGAACTGGGAAAATGGGTAGCAGGCCCCTACCTTAGTTGGCAACTGATTACTGCTGGGTGAGGGAAAGCTGATCTTTAAGGGAGTGACTCTAGATAGTCTGGCTAGACTCCCATGCATGAACTTGCACCATGGAGATATCTGGTTACAAATGCTTGACACCACAGGCCCTAACATTTATGAAAAAACGCACAAAATAAAGTGGGGAGGGCTATCTGGTAAATTGTATGAAATGTACTAAAATTCAATTAAAATATACATTTCAAAAAAGCATAAAAGTATTAACTATTCAAAATTATTTTAATTACAAAGGTAATTCATAATATTAGCACTGTTGTGTACCTTAGATGTTTTTTTGTCAGTTTCTGTATTATTGCTTGGTTTTGTAAATTTTTGTTTTTTAAGTTTTATTTATTATTTTTATTTTATGTGTATGTGTGTATGTGTGCATCACTTGCATGTATGTAAGTGCACCCATGTTGTGAAATATCTGAGGACAGAAGAAGGCATCAGATCTGGATGGTTGTTAGCCACCATGTGGGGTCTGGAATTCAAACTCAGGTCTTCTGCAAGAACAGCCAGTGTTACTTAACCATGGAGCCATCTCTCCAGCCCCAGTTTTATAGCATTTTCATTGTATATATTATGCATTGTACTGTGTTAAATAAGACAATTTTGACATAAGAATATATTGTAGGTGAAAGCTATTTGCTTTCTGTGCTCTCATAGCTCTGGGTCCTAACTGTGAAGGTAATGTGACCAGCAGCATCACACTCTTGATGCCATTCATTCTCTGCCATTACAGATTTTCCAAATATACTGTCAGTAAAAATAAACACTTCAGTTGCTCTTATCTTGTATTTTTTAAGTAACAGAGACAGTAACTAATATGGAATACATAAGTCAGTTAATTAAAGAACCATACTGCCTGCATATGTACCACATAGTTTAGTAAAATAATCTTCAAAAAAGATAATTCAGGGGACCTGGGGATATGGCTAGTTGGTAGAGTACTTGCCTGGCCTGAGAAAGAGCCTGAGTTAATTCCTGTCCTTGCTGACATAGTGGTTCACACCTCTAATCCCAAAATATGGGGTGAAAAGTCCAGCGAAATCAGTTCAAGGTCAATCGCAGCTATACTTGGTCTGTGACACCAGCCTGGGAGGAAACCCTATCTGTAAAAATTTTAATGAAGAAATTCAAGGCTAGAAATGTAACTCACTCATAGAACATTTGGTTTTAGCAGACGGGACACCCTGTGTTTCATTTCTATCAGTGAAAAAAAAATTGTAATCATGTACAAAATTTCAAAATATGGCAAAAACAATGTTTGAAGCAATATTAATTTTGGATATCTCTAAGGCCACAAAACAACTAAAAAGCACATGAACTTTCATATATATATATGTATGATTTTTAAGGTGATATATATATATACATATCTTAAAAGAAAGGCAGATGTTCTGTCATTTCATAAGGTGTAATCAGGTTAAGATGCTCTTAAAAACTGAGCACCCTCAATTTCTATTTTAATGCTGAGGCTATTTTAAGTGCTGAGAATATTTTAATGTTGAGAGTATTTATATATTCTTCTTGCTAATTTTGTATGATCTACAAATCCCTAAATGTCTACTTGAGATCTTTGAAGCAAAGTCAAACATGAAAAGAAGTAAACAATCCATTCTTCTTTTATATCAAAATTAATTAAGAGGGTTGGGAAAGTAGCTCAGCAGTTCATCTTGTGCTTACCATGTGGGAGGTCCTGGGTTCAATTTCCAGAATATGGATCAGGCAATTTGAAACTTAATCTCAAATGTGACTTGCAAACATGCTAATATGAACATGCTATACCCACAAGTACACATGCCACTAGGAAAATTTACCCTTTGTAAACTTCTTAGTTAATACTTTTACTCATTTGTTTATCAACCAAAATACAAATGTTTAGTACTCACTTGATATTCCATCTTCTCTCTTCTTTCACTGGCTAATCCAATATTCTTGGCTCAGTCATGATTCTGCTACAATAGTGGCTATGGTGCACACTCTTCACAAATCATTCACAAGTCATTTATAAGGTTTGCTAGGAATATGAAGGTGTATATGGCAGTGCAACACTCCCACGATGTTGATAATCAAATAGACATAAACTGTCTTCTTCACATTTTCTTGCCATTTAAATGTTCATTTTCAAATGCCCTTATAAAATACAGAGGCAGACAGAAGAAGCAGTCTTTCTCCTATTTTAAGGAATGCTAAGATTTTGACATATTCTTCCAAATGTTTTTCTATTTGTAGAAATCATTCATTCAATCTAGATGTTCCTATATGAAAAATTTCCATTTATGTATTTGCAAATATGTATGCAACTTTTACTTTTTAACTAAGTTGTACAAAATGTCAAACATTAAAGGTTCTATATCTACACACTGAACCATTTCCATACTAGAATAATACTTATCATGGTTACATTACATTCATCTTAAATACGCTATAAACTTTATGAATATTCTTTCATTAATAGAGATCTATGATAATTTTCTTAGATGTTTGCATTTCACAAACAAAATAATTAATTAGAATTTTGAGAATTATAATAGATAAAGTCTCAGTAGTATATATAATTTTTTAAAATTTACATAATTTTACAATTTAATTTTTTCTAGCCAAATGCTGTTCAAACCATATTCTGTTTTTGTTTGTGTAGGGAGGCATTCTTTTTTCATTCTTCCTTATCTTTTGAGACATGGTTTCCTGTAGTCCAAGCTGGTCTCAAACTGTGTAGCTTTGAACTCTTGATCTTCCTGCCTCCTGAAAGTTCTGGTAAAGTAGTCCTCATTAAGCACATCCACATGTTCTGATTTATATTGTATCCAATGTCAAAAAGGTTCAGTTCTTTTAAAGAAGTTTTAGGGAATAATAGATGTCCAAAATATATAAAGATAGGCAGAGGTTTTAAAAATGTTATAGATTAAAAGTGCATACATATAGAAATAAATTTAGGAAAAAGTATAGGTCTTAATGTTTACCATAAAATTATGGGTTAGCCTATAACACTGAGGTTAAAGAAATAATTAGAATTCAAAAGTAATATACTAATTACATAATTCCTAAGGTAAAAGTGTCAAGAGCAAAGAATTTTAAGATAGGGTTAATTCTTGAAAGAGCAATAATATCCCATCTGCACTACTGAAGCACATGAGATGCACATATGAATGTGGTATAATTTCATATATGTAAATAAATGTGAAAAGAGAAATATGCAAACAATGATTTTAGCAATCATCTAACTTCTCCATTTAACATGACAACTTATTGTATATTTCTTTCCTCCTAATGATAAAAATTCTCCTTTATGGCCGGGTGTGGTGGTACACACCTTTAATACAGCACTCCAGATGCAGAGGCAGGCAGATCTCTATGAGTTCAAGGTCAACCTGGTCTACAGTGAGTTCCAGGCCAGTTAGGGTTACAGGGTGACACTGTCTCAAAAAGACCAAAAAAAAAAAAAAAATCCCAAATCTAATTTATGTCTTTAAGTACTTTCCTTCAAGTAAACAATATACATCAGACTTGCGTATTATTATCTTCTCTATTTTAAGCCCATCAGTAACAAGGGTTACATCTTTAACATACCAAATACTGCCCATTAAATTGAAAAATTATTTACTGCAATCATTTATGGATGTTATTTTACAATGAAATTAAGACTGCACATCTGAAGAAAACTGATTTTTAAAATGATAAAGTTTCAGTGAGTTATTTACAGCTTGTCTTGAATGGTGTCACGCAGTCAAAGTAAGCACAATACTGTATATTAATTCAAGGAGGTAGAAGAATTTCTTCCTTATTAGACACATTTTCTACAATGATTGTAAAGATATATTTACATAATGCCATATCATTAATTCATCTACAAAATTATACTTTGTGGTTTTAAATGTACAATAAACATATAATTATTTTCTTGAGATGAGTAGCAAAAGTTGAAATAACATTCTTATCCGTTTCATTCTGCTAACCACCTAGTTACAAGAGTAACAAAGCACATAAAGTGGAAAGAAAGCAACCTTTAGACATTTTGCTCTTTAAAATTTGAAGCAATGAAAGCATGAAATTTTACAATGATTTATTTACAAAATTATACTTATGAGACTATGTATCTAGGAAGCTTGGATGTTAAAGTTAAAGGTCTGTGCTTGATAACTATTTACAAAGTTGTCTTGAATATTGTCATGCAACCAGGGAACTCTGAAGAGTTCTAAGAGGTAGTACAAAATCTCCTTAACCAAATTAACAGAAAAATGGAATAAAGAAATATATCAGGAGGCTCATCAGTGCTCAGCCAGCCAACAGAACTCTGTCATTTCAGTTTTAATGCACAATTCACACTTGATAAAATGGTGACCTATTTGTTATGAGAACAAATGCATAACATTTTGTACCTTTCTGAACTATCACCCAAATAACTGACAATTTTTAAAAGTTTTCTGATCTTTCAAGTGACACCTTATTTGAAAGAGCATTAGCATTTACACAGTATTTTACAAATTTATACTTTTGTGATTCACTATAAATTACTATATGTTTAATTAAAAAATAGCTCATTATTTACAATTTTTTGCCAAGTACCAGATGAATTCAAAATCATGTAATTTAGAACTTTCAAGAAATTAATTAAAAATAAATTGTATTATAAATCCTAGTGATTAGGAAAATGAAATGCAACTACATGTTTCTTATTTGGCATAAGCTATTTTTTTCCATAAAATTGCTACAATTTTATTATTACAATGGACTTATACTGTATTTTAAATAAATATGTTGTTAAAAATCCACTATCTTGCTACTTTGGCAAGATATATACAAGTAGCATACATAAGGTCATAGATACCTTTTTAATACTGTGTACAAGTAATTTCACTATCACACTAATTCAATGAATCCTATAAAAAGATGAAGTAATATTCTCATTAGAAGTTTGTCTTGTTCTACCCTCCGTATACATTTAAAAGTTTGAACTATCATAGGCCAACTCTTTTAAATACTTATAGATCTTAAAAATCTCATATAAAAGTTAATTATTTAAAATAGTTAAACACAGTTAAACAAAATGATTGTTACAATATATGCATATCCATATCTCTAGAAAACAAAAAAGAACAATGCAAGATTAACTTTTAAAGACAAGAGATCACTAAAAATCCAATACCCTTTTCCTCAGACATTCCAAGAAAAAAGTAAATGCCAATATTTTTTAAATTCTTCATTTTCTAAATGTGATTAGCAAGCTGTTTAAAACATAAATTCAGGAAATCACTATATACATTCTAAATTTTGTACCTCAATGCAGTAGAACTTTGCTTCACCATACCAATGGTACACTTCCCTTCACTACACAAAAGAAGCATCAACCCTAAATATTAAAAGTAAAATACATTCCCAAAATATAATCAGAAAATTCGAAAATGTGGAGCAGTAATTGACAGATATAAATACAACTCGGACAATAAACCTCCTCATACACATTAAATGAAAAATAAGAATTAATACTTGCAATGGTTAAGATATTTTTAACACTCGTTTAAACATTTATGA